TTTTTTTTTTTTTTTTCTTCAACTCACCTGACAACTTAGGCGAATAACCACGGCCCGTTGGGGATTTAACCGCTTCGTCAACTTCCTCGACGTAATCAACTTTCGTTTGTCGGAGTAGTTGATGACGTCTCGCGGTGTCCGATCTATCCTTCACTTTCAAAGTAACTGGACCTTTATTGGGGATGTGCAAATCAAGCGTCATCGAGACTTGGCTGCCTCCCATTTTCTGCTGATCCAAGCTCTCCCTGCTGACCTATTCAGAAAAAATCACGTCAACTACCGCGATACGATTCTTTCTAACCAATACATACATATCATATTCTCTCTTGTATTCTTAATATTATACCTGATGAGGACTGTAGCTTGGGTTATCAACGGAAAGAGCATGCCTCTTCAACAGCTCAGGGTTTAACAACGCGCATCCAGAGTATTTTGACGTTTTCTTACGGGGTGATTTCTTCTCGACTAACGTCGGAGCGCTAGGGCTTTTTTTGATCGAATGGCCAGCTTGTTTCTCGCTCAGTTCTTTAGAGAGTTGCATGAACTCCGCAGTCAATTGTTTCCTGGAGACAACCTCGTGTACGCTCGGGCTCGGACTTCTGTTCACTTTGAACACACCGAGCTGGTGATCCCATTTGGTCGTCTGACTAGACGTGGACCTACGGTTCCGTTGATTCCTCGTGTTCTTTATTGTCGACGTTTGATTAAAGCGGAAACGAGCCGGCACCACTTTGGCAGCGTTATCACGAGCCTCGAAGGTCATTACGCAAGCTGCTACCACGATAAACCCTGCGAGATTTTATCGGATTACTCGGCGATCACGTACCAACGAATGAAATTCATACAATATAATTCAGTAATCCTCGGTTTTTAACTAATTCGCCTCTTTCACACATCCAATTCTCTGCCTCGTTCTTTTTTCATTTTCATAGTAGTTTGATTGAATATATTCCTCTTGAATATATTCATAGTAGTTTGATTGAATATATTCCTCTTGTACTCTTGTATTTCTTTCAGAACAAATTGTTATTTAAATTACATTATATTTTGTATATTTATTATAAATATTTATCATGTAAATATTATATAGTATATTTATTATTAGTATATTATTAGTTATATAATAGTATATAATAGTTAATGTTAGTATATGTAGTGTATTATTATTTATAGTATATTTATTATAAATATTTATCATATAAATATATTGTAAATATTTTATCATGTAAATATTATATGACTATAGGTATATTTTAAATACACATTCGAAACGTGTATACGCAGGTCGTAAAGGCTTTTAAATTTTCATAAGTGTTGCTTAATTTAAATAACAATTTGTTAATGTACTGTACTAATTTAAAAATAGGTTATCTAATCCTTAGTCGCGTGTACTATACGTGTAGAAATATCTAAGAAAGTGGTATTTGGTTTTTTCAGTGAAAAAAATTATCTTAGGCTATATCTTTATAAATAATGATTAATTCGTTTCAAAGTTTTGGTTCAGAGTTTGAAAATTTTCTAAAGATGAAAAGATGTAAAAAGTAATATCTGGTGTATTTGTAGTTTTCAAGACGCTTCTAATCGTAAGCCTCCATAGCTCAGGGGTTAGAGCACTGGTCTTGTAAACCAGGGGTCGAGAGTTCAAATCTCTCTGGGGGCAGAAGAAATTTTTTTTTTTTTTCCCTCTCTTTATATCAAGTTGCAGCAGCTTGTTAAATTAATGAAGCATATGTAATAAACGTGCGATAAAGGAAACCGTAAATTTGTAATTCTATACACAAAAAAAAAAATAATCTAAACAGTAGACAACCAAAATAAGGAAAATCCTCTTTACGTTTCACTGTATCCATCAAGATCGAATTAACACGTGATCGTCATACATTTTACGATATCACCATGATAAAACGATAGAATAGAAATTTGCAAATTAATTTGCATACGATCGATCTTCATCTAACGGCGATAGAGAATCATAAGAACGACATGGTAGTTTGAAATTTATACAAATTCAACTCGGGATTTTGTATACGATGTTAACGTTTCCCTGAATAAGAACAATCGGCACGTGCAAATGTCTGAAACGATTCACTGAATTTCCTCGCTTGTCCCCGTAGAAACTCTTCATCCCAGACCGCCGAATGCTTCGCTATCGATCACGACGATAAAACGTGTGCAATTCACTGCGCGGACAAAATATTCCCCGCCGCTGCTTCCTACGTTCTCGTACGAAATTATCAGCCGCGCGGTAAAAGTTTTAACTTCGTTGAAGCAAAGGCCTGTTACACCTTACGAATCGTTTCTTCGTAGTTCAAGAACGAATGGGAAACTTAACGATCCTTTGAAGCTTGCTAAATATAATCTTCATTGATATTTCTCAGTAATAAAGCGGGAAAATATTTCTCGATTTTTCTCGCCATTACGAATATTTACGATAACAAATAAACTGTCAATCAGACCAGTTTTTAATCAGAATTTTTCGTGAGATATATATTCGACAGATTAGTAATCCAAATGGCAGATTAATTCATCCACCTCAGTCGACGAGTTAAATCTTACTTATGGACGAAGAATTCGTTGATTTCTGCGAATTTGATGCGAAAATCAGACAGTGAAACGTTGAAACGTATTCTTTTTAATACGAAAGAGAAAAAGGAAAGAAACCGTGTATTTAAGACAGGAGAGGAATTTTTCATCGGGCAATTTTTCAAATTGATTAACTGGAATTTTTCCTGGGACAACGTCGGAGGAGAAAACCAAGAGGGGAAGAAAGAGAATTACATTAAGCATCTAGAATCAAGGAGGAACTTCTTCGCAATTGGAACGAAGTAGTAAAACTGTCGCTTCGTTCCCAGTTACATCAGGAACAATAATTTTTCAACACAAGTTCACGACTGACTCGCTCTGTTTGACCACAATTAACATCGCTCCTGTCTCTCTTTCTCATGCTCGTAATTTGCTCACAGTTGTGCATCAAAGTGGTAATAATCGTGTTATTGAACAGACAAACACACAGTTTTGCCATTCGATGATATCATATTCTTGTTGACGAAAGGAGAAGAAGATCAAATGGATAGTTCAACGGTGCACTAGCCAACGCATTAACATGGTCCATTGCTACGACGGATACACAGTTTAGTCTATTTATCAGTCTTTGCATCTTCTATTATTACTACGAACCACTCGGAACATCAACTATTCACTTTTCATTAATTTCCGTGCAAGATCGTGCAAACTCACTCGTCGCGAGAAAATGGTAAAAAAAATGGTAAAGAAAATGGTAAAGAAAATGGTAAAGAAAATGGTAAAAAAAAATGGTAAAGAAAATGGTAACAAAAATGGTAAAGAAAATGGTCGCAGATAAGTTGGAAAAAAAAACAGCGCTTGTATTTATCGTATTTTAGTGGTTCTTAATTCGTGAAGTTGATCAATGTAGCTAACGATAATATAATACAGTTGTGTTCCATTTATCTCTAGTTTTCAGGCCTCGCTTTGCTAAAAACTGGCTGGAGAGAAGAAAGCCAATATCAACGTGATCTACGTTCGAGAAAAGTATCGAACAAGAGGGACGTTCTTGAGACAGGCCGCGAAATTGAAACACGATGAAGTCACGCGTCAGT